CAGCTCCTCAAAGATCTTCGTCCTCTGAAACTGATCCATGCCCTCATGACCCATTACTAAAGACAAGATACCCCGAAATCCGTCGTCATGCCCGCCACGACCAAGACATACCCACCGCCCTCCTACAACATCGCCATCATCGGCTCAGGCCTCGGCGGCCTCTCTGCCGCCATCGCCCTCCGCCGCGCCGGCCATCACATCACCATCTACGAGCGATACGACTTTGGCGGAGAGGTCGGCGCGTCGCTGTCGCTCGCCTCAAACGGCTCGCGCTTCCTGCAAGAATGGCAAGTGGACATACCCTCGGCCAAGCCCGTCGTCCTGCGGAACCTCATCATGCACGACTGGTCCTCAGGTGAGGTTTCTGCCCGGTATCCCCTGGGAGACTATCGGGAGCGGTTCGGCACCGACTACAACAACTTCCACCGCATCGACCTCCATAAGCACCTGAAAGAAGTCGCGACGGCTGAAGCTGGCCAAGGCCCTCCGGCACAGCTCAAGGTGTGGCATAAAGCAGTCAGGCTGGACCCTTGCGAGGGAAGGATAACATTCGACAACGGCGCCGAGGCTGTACATGATGTTATTGTCTGTGCCGACGGAATCAGAAGCCAGATGCGAGAGCAACTTGGCATCGCTCCCCAGGTCACGCCGTCCACCTCTTGTTGCTACCGGTGTATCATCAGCACCGCCAAGCTCCGCGAGCTGGGCCTGCAAGAGTTCGCCGACAACAGTGCCATTGAGTTTTGGGGCGGCAAGGGCATCGACAAAGTCGTCATGAGCCCCTGCTCCAACCACGAGGTCGTCAGCTGCTATTGTTTCTACCCGGCCGCGAAGAACAGTATCAAGGAGGACGGCTGGAATATCTCGTCCACGGGCGAGAACCTGGCAGCAACGTTCCCCGACCTGGACGAAAGGCTCCGGCTCCTGTTTCGCAACGCGGAGGACATCAAGATGTGGCGCCTTTACAACCATGAGCCCTACCCATACTGGGTGAGCGGACGCTGCTGCCTCCTTGGAGACGCAGCCCATCCCATGATGCCCGATCAGTCTCAAGGTGCATGCATGGCTCTCGAGGATGCCGGAGCGCTCGGCATTCTCTTCTCGGCCAAGTATGCACACCTGTCGATACCGGAGAAGCTCCAGCTGTACGAGTAAGAGCGCAAGCCGCGAGCCACGCGGGTGCAAGAGAGCAGCCGAAGAGCCAGAACAGACATCACAGAACGCATCGGCTGGAGCAGCGCCAACGACCGGCCGGGGAGGCTGACGATTGAAGAGGTGTGTGGGTACGATATGCATTCTCACATAGCCGAGCTGGTGAAGAGCTTCACGAGCCCTCCCGCCCGATCCACGTCCAACGGTGCGTAGCAGCCGTGAATGAGCCTCGGTATTTGTTGAGTGATTAGGTAGTCGCATAGTGATAACCTCTGCGAGTTCAACTTCCAAGAAGACTGGAGGCAGAATGCACTTAGAAGACGGCGAGGCCATGCATCTCCTCGTACCGGATCCGTGCCCAGTTGACAATGGTGCCCGTGCCTTGGGTCTGATCGCGCATCCTCCAGACACGCTCCACCAGTGCTCGCGCGTTGTAAATGTATCCGAAGCCGCAGGTGCGCTCCATAACGAGGAGGCGGTCCTGGATGACGACGCGCTGCTCCATCGTCCAGCACGCGCCCCCGGCCATGACCAGCGGGTACATGAGGCACGGCTCCAGAGGGCTGCCGTAGCGAATCTTCTGCACCGACTCCAGGATGCCCTCGACGTTGCTGGCGACTTTGGGATCGTTGAGATCGTAGCCTTCCACAATCTG